TGAATCGCTTTTTCCAATTACAATCTGTCCGATTCAAGCACACTTTATTAAAATTCCCTTGTCGACGCACAATTTTCTAGGAAATCGAGGTGAAGTTTCATTTTGGTATATGAAAAATAAATGTCGCAATCGCTGTTAATTGATTGAAATGCCACGAGCGCCGAAGTATCGAACCCTTCCTTGCAAATTTCATAAAAATGTATAAGATTTTGACGGCGCTGCGAATGATGGAAGAGTGAAGGAAAAGAAAGTGTGCGTTTCGTTCTGATCTCGCTAGAGGACTCGTCGACAAGGCCCGAGATTCCAGCGATTCTTCTAATTAACTTGAATCGCTTTTTCCAATTACAATCTGTCCGATTCAAGCACACTTTATTAAAATTTCCTTGTCGACGCACAATTTTCTAGGAAATCGAGGTGAAGTTTCATTTTGGTATATGAAAAATAAATGTCGCAATCGCTGTTAATTGATTGAAATGCCACGAGCGCCGAAGTATCGAACCCTTCTTTGCAAGTTTCATAAAAATGTATAAGATTTTGACGGCGCTGCGTATGACGGAAGAGTGAACGAAAAGAAAGGGTGCGTTTCGTTCTGGTTCCACTAGAGGACTCGTCGGCAAGGCTCAAATTCCAGCGCAGGAACAAACTGCAGTTCTTCGACGTTGATTTCATCGAATAATTGCCCCCGAATATCCCGGAATTTTCGGTCTCGGATATTCCGGAACCACCGCGGAACAACGATTGTCCAGCGTCCACGTATTCCAAAAATGGGGTCCGAAATCAAACAAGCGGCAGCACAGAGCGGCGGTATTCCAAGGGGCGAAGTTCGCGATATTGCCAGAGTTCGCGGCATCGATCAAACTCGAAAACCGCTCGAGGTAGTTGGCTCAAAATATTCCCGCGAAGTATTCTCGATACCGTGATATTAATTTCATCGAGGGCGAGGGCGAGGGCTAGACTGCCATGCCGGACTGCGTCGCCGCAAACAAGTAGCCGCGAACTCGGTTGAATTCCAGCGGCGCGGCGCTTTATCTCTGGCACACGGCGAAAATAAGTCCTCCCCGGTGTTCTCGAGGCTGCATAATTCAACGGGGGTTGGAAGTTACATCGTAACTTCTGGCAAGGTCTTTGTCTCGGCCGTGAATCACCGTCATAAATTATTTTCGTCGGTCCTCGAGCGAAGCTTATCGAAGATCCTCGCTAACTCGCTCGCGAATCGCACACTCGCGATTTCAATGGTGCCCTTTTGACGGACGTGTCAGCTATAGGGTGGCGGTGCCAGTTACTATGGAGTAGCCAATCGCTGTGGCTTCAGTTTATTAAATTAAAATTAAAACGATGTAACATGTCTTATACGATAAATATAAAGTCAGTTACGTTGGCTCCACCACCCTATAATTGACAAGACATGTTACATCGTTTCAATTTTAATTCAATGAATTATTTATTTGTTAAAATTATACATATAAAAGTCGCAAGTTCTTCAAATACGACATATATTGTTACAATTTTTTGATAACGCGCAGCTGTTGTCATAAACTTGACCATTATTTTGAACCATCCGAATAGAAAAGAAAAATAATGTCACTCACTTCGCTGTCATAAAAGATAATTGAATAATTAACTTCAATTCGGAAGATCTGACTAATATAAATCGCGCGAGATCTTAATCAGTCTTTTACGAGGCAATGAACATTGATCATTTCTAACCCTTAACCGAACTATGGTGGCCCCACACAATTTTAACCAGTTAGCTATATGTGCGCGAGAACTAAGCGATGACGAGTATACTCGTCAAACACAGCTAACTGGTTAAGCAAGTTATCATCGATACACGTTAACGTAACTGTTTAAAAATATACGCTATCAGCACATCAAGCTTTCAACGTGAATTGACTTACTAATTTGGTAATAAAAGCAATATATACCGAAACAATAACTGGCGGTAGTTGGCAACACGGTTAATGTTCGATGGGTTCATCGATAATTGGAACAGCTTACACTTTCCATGGCGCGCAAACTGGTGCTATCAATATCGTTAAAAATTTGATCAAACGAGTTGCAGTTATTTTTCTAAAGCAAGCTTCCCCAAAGTGAGTTCGAATACGCCGCAGATTTAACGTTAAAGACACCAGCCGCGTGAAAGAGGTCACCGAGCCGGACCGCCGCTGTGTGGCGCATAGAGATTCCAGATTCTAGGTTCTAGAGGATCGAAATCACGCTAGCTGGACCGTTTCATTCGGCTGCGAAACGCAGCCTCGTCCCGGTGAAACGAATCCAGCTCTCGGTCGGCTTGTTAATTTTGCAAAGTTATTTCCCGTGGCCGCGTAACCGCGGGGGAGCCAGGGGGGGGGAGGCTCGCCGGGACACTCCGGCAAAAACCGGGCTTTATTAATCATTCTCATCTCGCTGAAAAATTGAATTTTTAACGGCGCAATCCGGCGCGGCGTTGCGCGTCGCGGCGTTACGCGTCGCGGCGTTGCCGGAGCGCGCAACGGCCACGCGCGTAAAAGTTTCACGGGCCCCGCAGCGTGCGGCGAACGAATCCGCCGAACTCGTCGACGGCCGGCTCGTCGCACACGCCCGTTTCGTTTCGAACCACGTTTCGCTGTCCGCCGCGGATGAGGGCGAACCGTGTAACGCGCCGTCGCCCCGATTGCGGCCTGGTTTGTCGCACGCTGACCCACAAATGGAATTTCTGTCCCCTGGTCCCGCGCTCTTGTTGCTACATTTTGCTTATTTACCGTGCGCGTCGGCTGAGTGATCCTTTGGCGTGCAAATGAGATGTTAAAACGTAAGCGAGGAACGGCAAGATAAAACAGGAAGATGAGAGACAGGAACGAAGGGACAAACACGCTGTGGTCGTGGTGCCGCCACGCGAGATACCGGATCTTCGAAAGGGACGATATTAGTTTATCATACTAATTAGTGGACCGAGGATCTTTGCAAGTTAATTGTTATTCGCGTATTTCTTTTTCTTTTTAAGTCGACAAAAGAGCTGCTTGTACGGTGAAAAATTTTCTATTTAATTCAATTTGTTCCTCGCTCTAGTTTTTATAAAACAGCTCATGAATATTGATATCTACATAGAGATGAAAGGATTGGATTTTTTCCGACAGGTTTATTTATTTAGCAACAGCCTCCTGCTGCGAATAAATCGTAACAGGTTTACCCAGCCGCGGCGAATATCTCGCTAACTTTACGTCACAGGATGTCAACGCGTTCGCTACTTGCATCAGTGTCTCACATGCTCATAATTATTGTATTTAGCGTATTAACCCTTTCGCGCCGAGCGCCGCGTGTATGCGGCATCGAAATGAAGTGTATACAGAAGAGAAAATTATGGAAGTGCAAAGATTGCGATGTTGGTCTTTGTATAGATCCTTGCTTTCAAATACAGGGTGTCCCGAAAATGTCACGCATTCCTGAGGTCATTTGAAGCAACTTTTTCCTTTGCGAAAATTTTCTCCGACGCTTCGTTTACGAGTTATTAACAAAAAACACTGACCAATAAGAGGTGAGCTCGGCTGACGCACGGAGGCCCAGCCAACGAGTGCACGGAGCCCAGTTCCGCTCATTGGCTCGGTCGCCTCGCGCCAGCTGAGCTGGGATTCGATCGTTCGACCGCTGGCGCCGTTGGCTCGCCGCTTCGCGCTGAGCTCCAGCGGAGCCGTTGGCTCCGCCGTCGAGCGGTCGAAGCCTGTTCCGCTGATTGGCTCGGCTGCCTAGCGCTAGGCGAGCTCGCCTCTGATTGGTCGCTGTTTTTCGTTAATATCTCGTAAACGAAGCCGCAGATTGCAATTTTCGCCAAGGAAAAAGTTGCTTCAAATGACCTCAAGAATCTCCTACTTTCGGATTGCGAGACATTTTTGGAACACTCTGTATATCACACAGAATTATATTATTAGTTTTTACGTATTATTATCTTTTAATCATTTTCGTCTCGTTATTAATTATATTAAACATTTAATCGTTAGGCTTTGTGATTATATAAATACCTATGTCACCTATAATTTTGTAAGTCTTTTTAAATTAAAAATGTAAATATACTTGTTACATTAGAGCAACGATTGTTTTATTCTGCACAGTTATTATTGAAGACTTAGAACAACATATGTACAGAAACCACGCGCACTATGCATATTTCTGGAGCTAGTTTCCGTTCAGTGACCGTACTTCGGCGGATGGAGCTGCCGCAGCGAAAGGGTTAAATACACCGTATCCTCTTGTAAAATATGACAAAAAAGTACCGTCAAAGAGAAACCAAAATACAAATAAACCAGAAAATCCTTTATAATCGAAAGACTAACGATGACCAGGACGAATCGATTGTTCAGACTAAACACATTTGTTATCGGGCACTCTCGAGGATATCGAGAAATCATTACCGAACGTGTGTCGACACGGAAGGTCGCACCCCCAAAGATTAACCCCAGGGGATTAATCGTCGAAGGGTGAATCTGTTATCGGATAAAGGGAAGGAATCGGGTCGAAGAAATAATCGAGACGCCGATCAATCGAGGGACGACGATCCGGCAGCATCTGGACGGGGAGCAAGGGGGCGCGTCGTTTCGAACGGGGGATGCGATTATCCGGTTGATAGAATTTATACACGCCGGCGTTTGCTGGTACGTGGATGAGACCGTACGGGAAGGGGTTAAACGAATTCCGTCGAAGTTGCGAATTAAATAACAACTTCAACGAGCAACGGCCTGCTTTAATAGCAGGCTAAGCCTGCGCTTACTCGAGCCCCTTGCTCTTTCATCCCCTCTTGCTGTCACTATACCCGGAGCTCTGCCCTCTTTCCCGCGTCGAAGCGAAACAACTTTCAGTTTATACTCGTCGCGCGAGGATTCGCATTCTCATCGACCGATACATAAGCGTCGTCGTGTGCGCGGTGAAACGCGTATCCCGCCGCTTTGATGACGGCCCGTTGATCCGCAGACCGCGGCGGCGTAGCAATCGCAATCCGTTAATGAGTTCTTTTCGTTGTGTGTTTGCAGTGTGTCGCGGCATACAGCAGTTCGAGGAGACGCCGCAGTACACCGAGGTGAACCCCAAACAGGACGCCAAGCTGATCTGCCGCGTGCTCGGGAAGAAGGGCCAATGCATCTGGCAGAAGGATCAAAAGGTTCGTGGAGTTTCATCGATACGTACACCTGGCTCCGTCGGACATTTTCGTCGGTCTCGTTTTTGCTCGCGTTTTTACGCCGCCGATCTTTACCAGTTGATTTGGAGTGCATTTTGTTATGGCACCAGTTAGCGAGCGGTCTAAAGGAACTCTTCATAATGTTTCGCGATATTGAATGGTTCAAAGGGAACGGCAATAATGTGTTACAACACTGAATTGACGATGTAGAATGACTTAAAGGAGACGTTAACAACGATTTACAATGTACAACGACTTCAATAAAACGTCAATAAATTTTATTATGTACAATGACTTAAATAAGACGAGAATAATATTTTACATTGCAGAATGACTTAAAGAAAACGTCAATAATGTTTTACAATTTAGTATGACTTGAAAAAAAAATGAATAACATTTTATAATGTTCAATGACTTGAATAAAACGTCAATAACGTTTTACAATGTACAATGACTTAAATAAAACGAGGATAATATTTTACATTGTAGAATGACTTAATGAAAACGTCAATGATGTTTTACAATGCACAATGACTTAAGTAAAACATCGATAATATCTTACAATGCAGAATGACTTAAAGGAAACGTCAACAATATTTTACAACTTAGTATTACTTAAAGAAAATGTCAATAAAATGTGTTGCAATACTGAATGATTTAAAGAGAACGACAAAAATGTTTTACATCATAGAACGACTTAAAAAAAGACGTCAATAACGTATAGTGACTTTAAAAAAAGGTCAATAACATTTTATAATGTCCAATGGCTTGAATAAAACGTCAATAATATTTTAGAACGTGAGATTACTTAAAGAAAACATCAATAACGTTTTACAATGTTCGATGACTTAAATAAAACGTCAATAACATTTTACAATGCAGAATGACTTAAAGAAAACGTCAATAATGTTTTACAATGTGCAATGACTTAAGTAAAATATCGATAATATTTTACAGTGCAGAATGACTTAAAGGAAACGTCAATAATGTTTTACAACTTAGTATGACTTAAAGAAAAGGTCAATAAAATGTGTTGCAATACTGAATGATTTAAAGAAAACGACAAAAATGTTTTACATCGTAGATCGACTTAAAGAAAACGTCAATAACGTACAATGACTTAAATAAAACGTCAATAACATTTTACAATGTGGAGTTACTTTAAAAAATCGTCAATAATGTGTTTTAAAATATAAAATTACTTTTTAAAAACGACAATAATGTTTTACGAAAAGTAGAATGACATAAAGAAAAGGTTCTTAATGTTTCACAACACCAATTGACTTAAAAGAACAGCAATATCGAATGATCTAAAGAAAATGTACACATTATTCTACAACACAGAACGATCTAAAGGGCACACTTCTAATACGTTACAACAGATGTAATCATAAAACTCGGCATACGAAAGTATTCGATCCCAGAACGGACTTGGAACTAAATACGAGTAAATTCTGTCCTTCATTTTAGTCCTCGAAAACGCTTCAATTTTTCTGGACCAAACGCGTGCCCAGGATTACGTTAACCGAAACTAGTCGGAAACGTGTACGTTGGCTGTAAAACAAATCCGTTTTACAATGTAGGATACCGTGGAGCGGGTAGAAATCGGCGCAGCTCGGCAAACCCGATAACACGTTGCGAAAAAGATTCGTCAGGAAAGAATCCTCGGAGCGTGAACGATGACTCGCGGGACGTTTGTCGTTGGGATTCGGTAGGAAAAAATTAGTAGAAAGTGTTTCCCGAGTAGGGAAAGAACTGGAAAGGGTGGTGAGTCGCGGTGTGTGTCGCTGGCCGTCTATCGCGATTCCGACGGGGGTTGATTGTTGCCGGTGCGGTGGAGCAAACCGCCCCCTCGAGCGCAGAGAGTCGGCCGGAGGGAGCCGACAGCCAACTTTTCTCCGTTGGCCGTTGCCAGTAAACTTCGGCTCGAGATAAGTTTCTCGGTACGAAAGTGGACGTAACGCGTCCGCCGACAATAAATACTGGTTCGTCGTCTGCGACGGCGGCGGCCGCGTGCGCCTGGCCGAGCAGTCGAATGGCTCGAACTTAAGTGAAATACCGGCGACGTTCCGTGTCGCGTGTTCCTCGTCGCTTGTCCATTAACTCGAACAACGACGCCGTTGCCGAGGAATACGATCGGGCCCCAATAAAACGAGCAAATAATTCAGCCGGAAGAATAGCGCGCGGGAACGGGCAAAAGTGAATCGGGATTGATGGAAATCCGACTGTGATGGCTGGCGAGAGAGGGCGGCTCGAAGGAAAAGCTGAAATCGATCGACGACAACAATGAACGAACCGAAAAAAAACGAGATAGAGGGAGAGCGAGCGAGCGAGCGAGCGAGAGGGAGAGAGAGAGAGAGAGAGAGAGAGAGAGAGAGAGAGAAAGAAAGAAAAAATCGCCGAGGGGATAGAGAATGGAAACGGAAATACGCGCGAACGGATCCCGGCGTAGATTATCGGCCGGAGTGGCAGTATATCATGCGCGCGCACGGATATTACCTTTTAAATTAACAAATCCGCGAGATAGGAACACCGGGGCTCGATAAACCGCGCTACGCCCATATTGGCGGTCGTGTAAATCCATTGTGAACGCGGGATCAACGCGGCCGAAGCACCGCCACAAAATTGAAAGTCAAAACGGAAATGTTATTTTCATTATGCCGTGACTCGCGGCGGGCCGTTCCGCACGCTGACGCCGGGAATAAAAGTTCTATGGCGTTTCGCATGGCGACTCGGACGATGCACGATCGCGGAATGGCGAACGCATTAATATGCAAAGGGCTGGCCCCGTCGGAATCGAGCGCTCGGTCTTCGAGAACTCCGAGATCAGATATCGTCGTACCTTTGATATCCTAATCTCTGCGTATGCTAAATGCAAAACTCGGCCACGCACACTGTCTTAACACGTTAAGCGGCGTATCAGTCATCGGTGACCGACGATATGCAATTTAAACAATTATATTCTTCCATATAAACAAATTTTAAATAATTTGGTGACTAAAAAAGTGAGTATTATTAACCCTTAGCGCTCCGAAGGCTCCGCTACGGAAACATTTGTCATTTGTTCCGTAACTTCGAAGGTTCCGCTGTGGAGCCAAATGTTTTTAGCATACGTTATCGTCGGCGTTAGCAATTGTTATCTGTAGTTAAAACGTTCCAAGTCTGTACCATTACGATTAAACCATTTTTTCACCTTTTCTATGGTTAGCAACATGGAGATAAATAAATATTATGATGAGAATTTAGAGCCGAGCGATGCCGAAGACGTATTTGATTTTGAAGAGTTAAAAGACATTGTGGAAGACAATGTTGGTAATGATTCTGACACTTCGAGTAGTAGTGGCGAAATTATACTACCAAAGAGACGAAGAATGAGAATTATTGAAAGTGGAAGCGAAGATTCGTTACAAGACTTGGATGAACGGCGTGATGTTACGGAAGAATTACATATTCCAGATAGAATACCTTTTAGTGTATTGCCACAGGTCGTTGGACCACAAGTTCCTACAAACATTGAACAGCCGATACAATATTTCAAATTATTTTTCACGGACGAATCGGTAAATGAAATTATAAAGGAAACCAACGATTACGCGAAAAATGTTCTAAACTTGAAAGAAATATCTCGTAACTCTATTTGGCAAAGTGAATACTGTGACACTTGTCCAAGGAAACCCAGTATGCACATGGGAGATTGTTACCAAAGATGTCACACCATGATGAATTACAAAATTTAAAATTTATCTTTTATTTACAATGGGAAAATGTATATTTATAAAATAAATAAAATCAAATGCATTCGCAAGGACGTGTAATCTATTCCGCTCAAAATAGGCGCTCCGCTCGAAAAATGTGCCGGAGTTGCTGGTAGGCAGTACTCGAGAAACGTGCGGCGCGCAAAGGGTTAAAACACGGATTGAATGTGTTATCTGAACTGAACAGGTATAAAATGTACAATAATTATGTGTCTGGGAACCATTAAAGTCTAAAATGACAAAGCAAACAAATGACGTCAATAAGTGAGAGCTTATCCCATCGATAAAGGTGTTATTATTGTTATAAATAAGTTTAATGGACCTTAGTTACCGGTCTGAATAGAACGTGATTTTTAAGAATTTTTCCTGAGCGATTTGACGGACTCTTTTCTAAAATTAGTGCCTGGTTTGAAAGTACAATAGACCGTGCGACCCGTGGTAATTTTGCTGCGGCAAACTCCTATCTCTTCATCTACTATGTAGTTCAGGGCTATTCAGTGTTCTGTAAACATGTAATTGTTAAATCGGAGCTGACGCGATGCTGACGTGATCAGGAAACGATCGTTATTGGCAATTTTGTGAAAATTGTAACGTCGATTGACCGACCGCCAGTTAATTTATAGGTCTGGTAATACAGTTCTCGTACGGTATGTGCATACAGAATAAATATAATGGAGCAACGTTTATGCGGATTAATCTAATTTTCATGCGGATCGCCGATTTGCTAACGGCACCGCGAACCCGCGCAATTAGGTGTTATTAACATTTAAAACACTCTCTGCTGGCGGATCGGGCGGTGCCGATAATGCCCATTGTCTTATCGGTGGCACGGCGCTGTGGAAGGTCAACGTGTACTCGCGAAGTCGAGTTCTAATAAAAGTTTCATTGCATTGTGGAATCCACAATTGCTGCACGTGCGGAGGGCGATGTTCCACTTTGAATCAGTCATGCGGAATCTGTACGTAAAAAAGAAAATCGATCGTTTAAATAATATATTGAAATCGTAGAAAACAGCCGACGAATTGGAGTTCGAAATATATTTTTCAGTATCGTGAAATCTGGGGCAGACGGGGATGAACTTTTTTGTTTTCAATTGCGCGGTTCGCAATCGCCATTTGATCGTGTAAAAATGCAAAAAGAATTCAATTTTTTACGCGGCCAGATTTTCGACTCGAGTTCGCAGAGCCTGTTCCCGCGCTTCGCGCGAACGCCGGCGAGCCCCGATAA